GTTCTTGGGGGGGGGGGGTCAGGAATACTTTCCAAGGGCACTGAGTCTGTCAGCTGTCTCTCTCCTGGTGCTTCTTCTTCCTGCTGTTCCTCTTCCAATATTTCCCAGCTTCTGCCCTCTGCAGCCTCTGAACTATGCCCTTCTGCAAACCACTGTTCTAAATCTATACTGTCCTCCTGTTTAGGAAGGTTTAGGAAAAGTGGGGGCAGTCCCCACCGCTCCTCCTCAGTCCAACCCCTGACATATACACCGTCTTTCCTCCAAGGATCTCAATGTTGTGTAAACAGTTCTCCCACAGCTCATTCTATTTTCACAACAACTCTGTGAGGTAGGTTAAGCATAGAGATAGTGACTAGCCAAAGGACACCCATTGAGCTTCATGTAGGAGTGGGGATTTGAACCCTGATCTCCCAAGTCTTAGTCCAAAATCAGCCTTTCTCAACCTTTTGCCATCATCCCTGGCCATGGGTCATGCTGGTTAGGAATGATGGGAGTTGTAGTCCAACAATTGCAGTTGAGAAATGCTGCCCTGACAGGATGACTAACTTATGTCCACAGAATTAAATAGGCCTACTCCGTGACAAGGTGAGCCCCCGTTGCTTGGTCCCTGCTCCTGCCAACCTAGCAGTTCGAAAGCACGTCAAAGTGCAAGTAGTTAAATAGGTACCGCTCCGGTGGAACGGGAAACAGTGTTTCCGTGCGCTGCTCTGGTTCGCCAGAAAGCGGCTTAGTCATGCTGGCCACATGACCTGGAAGCTGTACGCCGGCTCCCTCAGCCAATAAAGCGAGATGAGCACCGCAACCCCAGAGTTGGCCACAACTGGACCTAATGGTCAGGGGTCCCTTTGCCTTTTTAAGAATGACTTAGTTGGATAAGGACTGCAATACCTCAAGGACTGCCTCTTTCCATATGAACCTACCCAGACCCTGAGATCATCTTATGAGGCCTTTCTTAGTGTACCTCCTCTTCAAGAGGTCTGGAAGGTGGCAACATGAGAATGGGCCTTCTCTGCAGTAGCTCCCCATCTGTGGAATGCTCTCTCCAGGGAAGATCGCCTAGTGCCTTCATTATATACCTTTAGGCACCAGGCAAAGACATTCCTCTTTAACGAGGCCTCTGGTTGATTTTAAAAGGGCTTAGGATGCCAGTCAGCCCAGAAATCTCCTCTCATTTTCTCAGAGTCTTCCCATTAATGCCCACAGTTCTTTACAAGGACTGTTTTACATGTACATGCTCATTAATTGATGGCTGCAAAGTGAACTGATGACTTACATGTGTGACTTACATGGAGGGGGATTCCACTAATAAAATTTTCCTATCATCTCAGATGCAATGCTTTTCTAAGGAACCAGTGTGGTAGTGATTAAGTGTTGGCCTTTGAGACCAGGGTTCAAAACCAGACTCAGTCATGAAGCTCACTGGGCTGTCAACAATGCAGTGTACAGGAATAATCAAGTAGTTTATGTACATGTTGCACCTAAAATGCAATATGGTGGTATTTTTTTGTTTTTGCAAGTGTGCATTGAATTGAAAACTTTTTAAACCACCCATGTCATTAATGGAAAAGAAACTTTTTAACCACCCAAGTCATTGCCAACCTTATTTCCTAAATCACAGTGGTTATGCTGATGTTGTCACTTATTCTCTCTACTATCATAAACCAGTTAAAATATATTAGTATAAGTTATTACAAGAGGTTGACATAGCTGACAGCATCTCTGAGAAATGGGTTATACCACACCGATCTCCCAAGAGGCCTTAAATATCAGACTAAAATGTATGGAACAGTGATCACTGGGTCTATTACTTCAGTTGCAGCCTGGTAGTTTGCAATTTATAGTTTCCGCATAAATTGGAGTCTGTTCAGCATATTATGCAAGACTCTGAGATGGCTTGTGCTACCTTGCAACATTAAGGCAGTGGCAGCCAAGGCTTGGAGCTGTCTATGAACTTAGCTTAACAAATTATTGTACAACAGAGGATCATCTGCATATTGCCATTTGCAAGTGTACCATTACAACGAATAAAGCAGACAGACAAAACCTGCAATCTATTCCAAATTCTTTATATAATGAAATGTTGTTAGGATCAAACTTTATTTGCAGTGCAAGAGCTTCAGCTTTGCAACTCAGTATTTTTACATTTAATGGGGAAGGGCATCAGCCTGCTTCTAAGAATTGTGGAGATTTTTTTACTTTTAAACTTTATTTTTATCCTCCTGATTTACTCATTTACATTGGAAGCATACTTTTCATACACACATTCTATTACCAGCATCATATATAATAAATAATGCTGAGAGGGTTTGAAGAGCTTTGCTAAAAATAATATCCACAATAAAATAAAAATGAACCAGGGCTTACAACTATAATTATAATTAAATTATAATTTCAATCATTTTAATTGAAAAGGATGTCTTGTTTAGAATAGCAGTTTGTTGCGAATAATCATTTTTAAAATAAGGCTTATAAGCATCCAAGTAGTATTCCTCAAAAACAAAGCAGGCAAATGAGCAAAATTCCTTCAACTGATAGTTGTAACTAGATGTCCCAGAACTGGAAATTTGATTGCTTTTCCTAGGTTTTGAGTTTCTTTTTTATATAGAGTATGTTTATGTTTGATAGTCCAACAAATGTTTTTGTTGTGTATTGAATTCAAGTTTAGGAATTCAGAGCTCATTATCCTGGTTTGCTCTTCATCAGTTACAGATACTGTATTCTCTGAGCTAACCTACATGTTCTATGCAGAATGAGGTAATAGAATTCTGGAAAATACCACTTTAGACAGCAAGTAGAGTGCCTTTAAAAAAGCTATCCAGTATGAAAAGATGCATGCAGTAAATTTAGGACATCTGGGAGCAGGCGATTGTAAACTTTCTCTTTCTCTCATAAGCTAGCATACATTTAGGGAGGAATAAGGCCTAGCCATAGCTCACTTGGGCAAAAGAACAATTGAAGGCAACTGCTGACAATAATGCATTGATGTGATGGGGTTTCATGAATGCTATCACAGCTGTGTTATAGGTATTGCTATATTTCTTAGAAAAACTGAAAAGGGGTTTTATGTCATCACTTTTGCAGTAATCAGTGAATTTCTTAGTATCAATCAGGGTTAGGGTATAAATGCAATATCAGGTGTGATGTTCAGATTTATAACATCTCCCATTCCCATCCTTATCATTCATTTGTTTCTGAAAGCACTCATTTATTCAGTTCCAATAATAGTGTTGTGTTATCAGATGATGACTGGACTATCACATTGACTGAAGCCCAATGTGATAGTAGTACTCCCCCCCCCCCCAAAAAAAACCACCCCCCTCTAAGATCCACACATAACTGTGTGGACACTTCTAGGTCCACGTATGTAAGCAATTTCCTTGACAGCAAGTTTTAGAAACAGATTGACCCCAAAATATGGGTATTCACTGTCTTTTTAAAACAAGCAAAAAAAACCCAATAGAATGAGTGGGGCAACACATTTCTCATAGTGTGACTTCTTCATTTTATGATGTATAAACCAATTTTCCAGGGCTGAAAGCAGCTCTGCAACAGGGGACGTAAGTGCAGTACCCTCCAGATGTTGTTGGCCTGCAACTCCAACCAGCCCCTGCCAGCATGGGCAGTGATAAGAAGAAGAAGAGTCCTGTTATGGATAAATCCAAAGGTCCACTAGTCCAGTACTTTGTTATCACAGTGCCCAATCAGATTCCTGTGTGAAACAGGACTTGAGGCCAAGAGCACTCTCCCCTCCCCTCTTATGGTTTCCAGCAACTGGTATTCAGAAGCACAGTACCACTGACTATGGAGGCAGAGAACAGTCATAATGTCATGAAACTGTTAGATCTTGCATTAGCAGAAAATGTAAAGGTAAAGGGACCCCTGACCGTTAGGTCCAGTCGTGGCGGACTCTGGGATTGCGGCACTCATCTCGCTGTATTGGCTGAGGGAGCCGGTGTGCAGCTTCCGGGTCATGTGGCCAGCATGACTAAGCCGCTTCTGGCGAACCAGAGCAGCAAATGGAAACGCCGTTTACCTTCCTGCCATTTATCTACTTGCACTTTGACGTGCTTTCGAACTGCTAGGTGGGCAGGAGCTGGGACCGAGCAATGGGAGCTCACCCCGTCGCGGGGATTCAAACCGCCGACCTTCTGATCGGCAAGCCCTAGGCTCTGTGGTTTAACCCACAGCGCCACCCGCATCCCTAGCAGAGAATGCAAATGAATTCAAATAAGGAGAAATACTTGGAACCAGGTACACTTTCTCTTATGTATTCAGTGAGTTGGATCCAGAGTTCCTCTGGGTGAAACTTTGACCACCAGAAAGTATGGAGGAGGCAGTTTTCACATTCCTCCTTGTCCCTGCAGTCCCCTATATGCTCCCCTAAAGGTACTCTGGAGGCTTGGGAGCTCCCTGGAGCGGTGTGGGAAGTGGCGTTTGGGGATGCTTCACTGGATCTTTTCTTGTTCTGTTACAAGCAATGGTTACAACAGGATGACGGTTCTGGCCCAAGGGGATAGGTTCCTAGCCCAAGCTTAGGGACCAGAAAAGCAGAGGCAGGTAATGCAAGCAGGGCAGATTCCTAGCTTCAGTGAGGCCAGCAGGATCAAAGCAAGCAAAGCAAAGCAAGGTTCAGGTGATAGCAGGCCACTTTTGACCTGATGTCATAAGATGTCTGGTAAGCCCAGGTGGATATGGCTGGGAGGAAACAGCCTCTTGGGGCCAAATTAGGACCATTCATGGCCCTGATTTGGACTGCAAGCTGGAGGTACTCCAACCCTGTGGAAAAGCAAAGAAAGCCAATGTAAAATATATTGAAGCAATGCAAGGAAGGAGTTTAAACTGCAGATAGCACCCTGGACAGCTCCACTGAGAGTTCAGAGGAGCAAGGCTTGAATGTTATTTCAGCAATAGACCATCTCAGCCTGCAGCTTCATAAGAGTGAGCAACTTCATCAGAAATAAATTTAAAAAAATTTTTTAAGTCCAGTAGCACCTAAGAGACCAACTAAGTTTGTCCTGGGTATAAGCTTTCATGTGCATCTGAAGAAGTGTGCATGCACACAAAAGCTTATACCCAGAACAAACTTAGTTGGTCTCTAAGGTGCTACTGGACAATTTTTTAATTTATTTTGACTGTGTCAGACCAACATGCCTACCTACCTGAATCCAACTTCATCAGAGTGAACAGAAGTCAAATGGGCATAGCCTGCTTCAACAGCCATTTACTCGGATGGAGCAAAGGAGATTGTTGGTTTTCTATGCTGGCATCCTCAGAGTCAGAATCAGAGTAGCTCAGGCCAGAAAGCTGTTGGTAGAATGGGTTCCTCTTGTGCTGTAGCTTCTGGAGCACTGTGGATATTGGAGGTCAGCTCTGAGGGCAATTTTGTTTCCTGGTTTGACAACTCCTCTGAAGATGGGGAGTCAAATCCTTGGGGTGATAGCACCTTAGTGAATAGGAGAGTAAGTCTGGCTCTAACCCGTTATATTCATGCTTCATCTCTCCATATATTCAAGATAATTTGCAACAAAGCCAGAAAACTAATATCGTAAAACAAAGCATTTAAAACCTAAATCAAAGACTCCTTAAAACTAATGGTTTGACTATATTAACAACAAGGCCCATTATAAATCTTATTAAAGACAATTGCAGCATCTATCCTGATCACCAAGGCTTGATTAAACAGGTAGACTACAATAGATGATAGATAGCTGGTAGATGGATGATAGATGATCGATAGATAGATAGATAGATAGATAGATAGATAGATAGATAGATGATAGATAGATGATAGATAGTAATAAGTATAAGCTAAGATTTGTTTTTTGAAACTCATGTCTCCATATCCTTCTCAATTCTTATTTATTCTCCTGTCACTACTATACAGTTGCATATCCACTCTCAAAACATTTTGTGACTCTGATCCAAATAAATGTAGACATGCTTAAGTCCTATTGAAATGGGACAAGTTAGCCACAACTGATTTCAAACAGGACAAGTGTGACTTTCACAGGAGTTGTTTTTAGAATGTATATGTTCCTGTGAATATCACTACTGGAGATTGTCAGCTTTCACTGGTGATTAACTGCATACACCAGTTATGTATGCACACAAAAGCTCATACCAATAACAAACTTAACTGGTCTCTAAGGTGCTACTGGAAGGATTTTTTTGTTTTGTTTCGACTACGGCAGACCAACACGGCTTCCTTCCTACCTGCATACACCAGCCATTGTCAACATTCACTTGAAAACAATATATTAAAAAATGTCAATATTCCCCATTTCTGACAATCACATTAGCATAAATAAACAGAAAAACTTACCGCCTACACATAATTGTCTCATTTTTGACAATTGGGAGAAAGTGTTCTATAAATGCTCTGAAGTATTTCCATACCCTCATCTTATGTTGATTGAATTAATGCAGTAGCTTAAGCAAGAAGCAGTTTCCATGGTTACACCGGAGACCTTCTAAATATAGTTCATGATGTAACCAGCTAAAGTGACTGTGTACAAAATTGATGTGTACTTTTGCATGAAGGCCTCTTGTAGCCGAATCATTTGAAAAGTGTCCACATCACTTCAAAATACTATTTTTAAAAATATTCCCATTGTGCCAAGATTTCCTGCTTCTCCAGGCTCTACCATTTAGCAGTTTAAGGCTGAAAGTTCTTTGTAATTGTTATAGATAAGATACATCAGAATAGGGTGCTGCCTTTATATTACCCTTAATGTTAAGTGTAAAATTACACATTGTGACTTATTCCCCAGTTGTCTAGAAGAAAGAGTATAGGGTATTGTAAACTCATACAACCAGCTACCTGAAATCCTGTTATCAACTGTGATCAGTGGTGTCAGTTATGCTTCCATCCACCCATTCAGGATGGTTTCATCACAATCTCCATTTCAGGGTTGCCTGTCAAGATAGGAAAAACAAGAAAACACAGAGTGGCTTCCCCACCCCAGGCCACTTGTTGGAAAAGCAAGGTAGGATGTCTTCATCACCACCACCTTCTGTAGACTTTAGATGGTCAGACAGTCTCACATTATTGCCTACAGTAGACCACTCAAGTTCTCTGCTTTCATAAACTCCTTGATTAAATAAGGATTATACTTAGCTCTTGTATGAGGGTTAATTAAATGGCTATATATCCTTTCAGTTTGGCCAATAATAATAACAATTGGAATCTACATACAGATAGCAGGTTGATTTAATCTTTTTAAAGTGTTCTCAAACACAGGGGACTAAATTTTCAAAAGATTTTCTAGTCATTATATTATGTTGATTTATAATTAGTGATTTTTTTTCCTTTTACTTCTATTTTAAAATTTTAAAATGTTATTTTGACACAATAGTTCTCAGAAACAGCCTTGCAGTTCAACCAAAATCTTTCTGCTCCAAGAACGGTTTATAATATTGTTTAGGATTTATTTTCTCTCTTACTTGTTTATATGTGGTTGTCCACAGACAACATACGGCAAATGCTCTTTTCTTTTCCCCCTATTAAATAACTTATCCCATATATATGTAGGAAACTTTCCATTTATGTAGGAATCTCTTGAGAAATAACTATTCTGGTTTGCTGTTTTAGAGCACTGCACCACACTTATTTAGACTAAAGGCAATGTCTATCAGTGCTTTTACAATAGTGAATTTAAATTATTGCAACGTATATAGCAGTAAAGTGTCCCTAACAATCTATATGTAACATTTTCCTCATTTTCTGCAGAAATTTAATAACATATCAAAAACAAATGTAGCTGTCCATTATCAGCTCAAGGCTCTTTACTGGGTAGTGGTGGGGTGGAAATCTGCAAACTTTTTGACTTGCTTACACAGACACACATGCACAGACACAGAGAGGGAGAGGGAGAGAAAGAGAGAGAGAGAAAGAGAGAGGGAGAGGGTGTTATTAAACTCCCTATAAAAGCAAATATTTTTGGTACGAATAGCCTGAAGACTATGAAGTGACAGTGACGAAAGACTTCAATATAAGGCAGCTTAAACTTTCTTCTAAATATTTGCTGAATTTTCCACTTTTGTAAGTCTATTGGAAATGCCAGCACTGAATGATCAGAAATGAATTGTATTTTCCAAGTCCTTTAAAGAGGGGTGGGGTGGGGTGGGGGTTTAGTCCATAGAGTTATAGCTATTGGAAATGGAAAGATAGCCTAGCTAGACTTTTTCACTATAGGAATCATATAAGTAGTTGTGCCTGAACTTCTACCTTTAACAATGTGCATTCTGATAGTGTTTCACAATCTGCTTCAGAAAATGGCAACAGATCCGTAGGTGTGTGTGTTTAAAATTAGTTGTAATTACATCTTTTCCCTTGCAATTTCTAAATCTGCATAAACTCTAGTGTCAGTCCACCCAGGTGTTTGGATTATTCATTGTAGTCTTTGTCTCTTAATACATGGCAAGAAGGGCAAGGTCACAGCTTCATCTCCGCTGCCTGGGAACAGGCTATTACTGGGCTACCATGGCACAACTCAGGGTTTCCACTGCAACTGATATGCTCTAAATTATAGGACATTTCCTGAAGAAGTTCCCACCAACATTTGAAATGAAGGTTAAGAAGAGCCTGCTGGATCAGGCCAATCTCCCATCTAGTCCAGCATCCTGTTCTCATAGTGGCCAATCAGATGCTTGCTCTGAGTGCCCCAGGTCATGTGGTATGCTGAGTTTTATGCAGAGAAACTAACATTTTTATAGCACTCCCTGACATTCTTTGGCTTTCTGAGAACAGTTTATGTGGTGTTTTTTTAAGATGATCTTTATTGGTTTTTTATAATTACATACTAGACATACATACTATACATACACATATTATATTACATTTTACATAGTTTATGTGCTTTTCAATCAAATGTAAATTTACCAAGCTAAATGTTGTCCCATCACAAAAATGATCTCTCACACCCAAAAACATATTTTTTAAGATACCTCACTGAAGAAATTTTCAAAAATTACAGTCCACTTCCTAAAATGTCACACCCTATAGAAGGATGGTCAATTTAAGCTCTGTTTCCTTTAAATTCGTCAGAAATATCAAACCACCATAACCCAAAATGAACTATTTCACTCCCTGGTACAACAAGAGAGTTCTTATCTTAAATTCACTATAATTTCTTTCCACTATTGAGCTGTAAGGAGAGGCATCCCATGCATTGCAATTAATCATATTATCATCATTCATTCACCTAAATACTTTAATCACACTCATAATTCATGCTGAAAGAAAGCATATTAAAACACAGCAATCCAGGAAAAACAGATTTGTGGTCCCAGCAAAGTCATTTAGAAGCTGGTTTCTTCACATGCTGTAGAGGGACATGAGGGGCAGATGGGGCTCATCAACCTGGAAAGGTAGCCCATCTAGGAGAAGGAAAACTCTGATCCTAAACCTCTGTTGCCTCACAGCTATACTCATTTCTGATAAAGGTTTTGGAATGAGTGCAGGATATCTTTGGGAGAATAAATGGCTAAGGAGTAAACCCTACACAAATCCAGAGTAGAGTCTCTAGGGTGGTTTGATGGCCTCTGATACAGAACACCTCTTTCTGACAACTCCTGCAGCCAAGCTGGTGCAAAATGTATTGCTTTCCTTCCCTTTGGACCATATCAGCAAGGCCAGGGATGGGTGGGTCATGTCATCCAGGCAGCCCAGGACCAACATACACACTGCCCAGGTTTGCAGACACCAGCACTTTGATGCTGCTAAAGCATCAAAAACAATGTGGGAGGCAGCAGTTATGAGTTACAAGCCTCTGCAGCCACAGCAGGTGCTGTGATTCTGCAGCGGTTTTTTATCAGTTATCTCTCAGCCCTATAAGATCCTGTGCCTGTGTTATTCCTATTTATGATATTCCTAAATCATTAATATACATTCAATAGTAGTAGCCTTTATATTATGCTTTGGAAATATAAGACATAAAAAAGCATGCACAGTGCCTGGATTCTTCAGACTTTTCAGATGCTTTACTTAGTAACAAAAGTCAGGGCTTAGTTTATTTCTGAAGATTAGATACATATATTGCATGTGTGTATTTGTGGAACATGTAAAAGAGGTGCAATTTGTTTGTTTTTGAACCTCTGCATACCCTTCATTTTACTTGACCTCACATTGTATTAGCTGTGTTAATTATGAACAAAACAACCCAGTGATGAATTAGTAATGAGGATGTTCATCTTAAGATCTTTTAAAGGCATAGGTTCATTGCAATTAGAGGGGAGGCTAACCGCTATGGGATGAAAAAAGTTTCTTGGGAATGCATTTCATTTCAAGTGACAAAACACAATTAAAACCTCAACAGTCAAATGAGCTGTCATGGCCACAGTTAGAAATTGTTTCCCTTTTAAAACCTGCTACTCCTACAGTCACATAGTTTTGTTTATGCTTCTTTATTCAAAGCATGTGAGGCTAAATAAAATCTTATGTGTGTTTTGCGTTTTTGCTCAGCAGCCATTGCATCTGAAAAGCTCCATCCAGCAGATCTATTCCAGGTAGTGAAGGAGAGCGGATAAATCTGTCCTGTTTCCGTTGAGCCTTTGCATCACTGTCAGCTCACTGTGATGAGTTTGCAGACAAATTTCAGCAACAATTTTAATTTGTAGGTTTACCCCAGAAGCAAAACACTTGAAGATATACTGACATAATGACCTGCTGACCTGTTTCTGCTTATTGGAAAGAAAAGCAGGAGGTGTGATGCTGCCAGGTGCATAGCTGTCAACGTATCCCTTTTTTTAAGGGAAATTCCCTTATTCCGAATAGAATTCCTCACAAGAAAAGGGAAACGTTGACAGCTATGGCCAGGAGGCTGACATGGTGCAAACGCACCAGTAGAACCAATCCAGCATTCCTGCCCATGCATTTGCACCATGCTGAACTCCCCTTTCCTTTCTGGTAAGTAACTCAGCTGTAGGAAGGTCAGGTGAGTGCCACTGTGATGCTACCCCATCTGCTACTGCTTAAGACTTGTCAAATTTTTGATACTGGTTTTATATTGTCATGCATTATTGGATTGGTTTCTCTAGGCTTCTCATTCCATAGTAGCAAACAGTGGGGCTTGTTTTTATCTGACCCTGAGCCTTTACCTTGGGGCTATTAAAGGAATTCCCTGTGAACTAGGTCTCACCCAGGCTGGCTACTGAACACATGGGACAGGCTAGATCTTTTGTTTGCTGACATTAAGGTTTTTCTTGGAAAGGCAAAGGGACCCAATAGCGTCAAATCCATGGCAATTCAAATTCTGATCAGAAAACTGCCCATCCAAAATTTGCATTCATGACACTTATACCCCACTTTTCCTCAAAGGGCCTCAAGGTGGCATGAAAGGTTCTCCTCCCTCCCATTTTATCCTCACAACAATCTGTCAGTAAGTAGATGTGGTAGAGAAGTTCAGTTCCGCTTCCGCTTT